CTTGTAAAATGTGCAATATTCTTAACTCTCCCTGAAAACCAAAGAAATAAGACATCTGTATTTTTGTGATGACAGCTGGAGTTAAGTCCTCCTCTGGAATTTGTTCTGCTGTTAACTGGAAGATGCTAGTTGCTTGCACTTTTTTTTCAGAAATTAGCAATTTGTGGTTTGTTTTTATTTGGTTCAGGATAGCTACCTGTGTTTGAGCTACTAAATTCAAATCATACTGAGCATTATGCTTGCCTCTGTAGACCACTGGTTCTTTGTGCTTCATGGAGTTGAATCGTACAATTCTGTGGAGAGTTACTGGAGAACTTTTTTGTCGTTTTGGGTTCATGAGTAGATAATTACAGGCAGTACTGGAGGACTAGTAGCCACTGAATACAGTAATTTGTGTTGTACTGAATAGTCTGAAGTGAGAATCGCTCTCATAGGCTGTCTGAGCTTATTTTAAGCGCTACCAAGCCTGTGTGAGGTGGATTTACCTGAGGAATGAGAATATCAGAAACAACAAAATTAAGAGTCTGAACTGACTCTGTGGAGAAGGTATAACAAGTCTTGGGAGTGGAGGGTACTATGCTGATGCAGCATGGGATACCAAGACCAGTTGACGCTGTCTAGGTCTGAGCCACTGTCAAAACAAGTAATTTCCTGGGCTCCCTGTCGCCCACATTTTTACATTTCTACCATGTCCTTTACACGGACACTTTTGCGGCTACGTACTGAATGACATTAATTTACTGCTCTGGCTGAGGGGAAAGAAAAGTCTCGGCCCTTGCTTCTTCCCCTTCCCAAAATAGGTTGTTCTCAATCAATTCTGCAGGCTTTTCTGATTTTGGAGCACGAGCATAGTGCTGCTGTGTGAATAGATCATGAATGTCACTCTTTCTGTTTCCTGCTGTCTTTGTAGGAGTTCATTTAGGTTCAGAAGTCAGTCTCTCCTGCATAGTTCTGCATCTTGCATCTGAATAGTGTGTATGTTTACAAAAAACTACTTTTAGTTTTGAAGTAGTAACCACCCTCAAGCTATCTGGCCTAGCTGTCTCCTAGAGGTTCTCTCTTCAAGGCATTTGAGAACATGCCTTTCCCGAGTGTGCCTTTGTGTCGGTGCAAAAGCCAGAGCCTTACCTAAAATGGTTGAGAAGTGACTTTTAGGTTAAAATACTGTGGACTAAATGAAGTGGACTGCATGCCCTTTCCCAGTTGCTGACCCTGTCAGTGGCATGGAGTGGGTAGCTCTGGACAGCATCTGCTTATCCTGCTTCAGCAAGATCCTTGTATTGGTTTATCTGGTTTGTGTAACTTCTGTATGTGGTAGTTGTATACCCGAGCATAAGAATAGTTGAATTTAACCAGACAAATTTCAAGTCAAATCTCAAACTTCAAAGAAACAGGTGGATTAATGGGATAGTGTCAGCTGTGGCATTTACTGGGCTGAACACAGAGCAGACCAATAACCAACAAGTCATTGCTTCCAGTCGGTTACTGTCTCTGGGACTGATGTGATGGCTGCTATCTATTACTCATTGCTACTGGGTTTCGTTCAACAGGTTGGAGGAGAATTCACATTGACAGTGTTCATCCTTTCGTCTACCAGTTTTCATAGCAGGACATTTTTGTGATTTTTAATCAGTAGCCTGATTAAGAAGTACCTCTATTTGGGCAACTCTCGAGTATTTATTTTTTATTTTTATTCTAACGATATATTAGCCTCTGTGGGGAAATGCTGCTTCAGCACTGCTGATCTGGATGAAAATGGGCAAGGGCTGGTGTACCTATTGAGAATACTCGTGCGGTGAAAAGGTTAATGTTTTACTTGTGCAGTCCAGAGTGATAGATTTGGAATAATTTGTAAGAACAGGTGATTAACAGATGAAAATTACAATAATATACTTTGGAAACAGAAACCTCTTCAGAATTTAGCAAAATATTTAGTAGTTTTATATACCATGATAATGACCAAAAAAAGCTGATTATCATAGAGTCATAGAATGCATTGGGCCGAAAGGGGCCTTTAAAGGTCATCCAGTCCAACCCCCTTCAGTAAGCAGGGACATCTTTAGCTAGAGCAGGTTGCCCAGAGCCCCATCAAGCCTGATCTTGAATGTCTCCAGGGATGGAGCCTCCACCACCTCTCTGGGCAAACTGTTCCAGTACTTTACCACCCTTATGGTAAAGAACTTCTTCCTAATATCCATTCTAAATCTACCTATTTCTAGTTTAAAACCATTGCCCCTTGTTGTATTGCTATGTGCCCTTGTAAACAGTCCCTCCCCAGCTTTCCTGTAGGCCCCCCTCAGGTACTGGAAGGCTGCTATAAGGTCTCCCCAGAGCCTTCTCTTCTCCAGGCTGAACAACCCCAACTCTCTCAGCCTGTCCTCACAGGGGAGGTGCTCCAGCTCCCTGATCATCTTTGTGACCTTCCTCTGGACCTGCTCCAACAGCTCCATGTTCCTTCCTGTATTGAGGGCTCCAGAGCTGGGCTCAGTACTCCAGGTGGGGTCTTGCCAGCGCAGAGCAGAGAGGGAGGATCCCCTCTCTTGATCTGCTGACGATGCTTCTCTTGATACAGCCCAGGATGTGATTGGCTTTCTGGGCTGCAAGCATGCATTGTTGGCTCATATCCAGCTTTTCACCCACCAGTACCCCCAAGTCCTTCTCGGCAGGGCTGCTTTCTATCCCATTATCCCCCAGCTTGTATTGATCGTGAGGATTACCTCAGCCTGGGTGCAGGACCTTGCACTTGGCCTTGCTGAACCTTGTGAGACTCACATGGGCCCACCTCTCCCGCTTGTCCAGGTCCCTCTGGATGGCATCCTGCCCCTCAGGTGTGTTGACTGCACCACTCAGCTTGGTGTCATCTGCAAACTTGCTGAGGGTGCACTCAATCCCACTGTCTATATCATTGATGAAGATATTAAACAGCACTGGTCCCAGCACGGACCCCTGAGGGACACCACTCGTCACCTGTCTCCATCTGGACATCGAGCTGTTGAACTACTACTCTCTGGATGCGACCATCCAGCCAATTCCTTGTCCACTGAACAGTCCACCCATCGAACACCTATCTCTCCAACTTAGAGATAAGGATGTTGTGGAGGACCATGTCAAAGGCCTTGCAGAAGTCCGGATAGATAATAACCATAGCTCTTCCCTTGTCTACTGATGTCACTCCATCACAGAAGGCCACTAGGTTGATCAGGCAGGACTTGCCCTTGGTGAAGCCATGCTGGCTGTCACAAGTCCAGTAAGGTCATCCAGAAGAAAAAATTCAGTGGTGACATGATTAATAAGGTGAATGTGTATGTCTGAGTGGGTAGAGTGGCTGGGAAAAGATGGAGTTGTGTGCTCTGCAGGTTCCCATGGAAAATAAAACCAACTCAAATGCATATGAGGGTACTATTTAATATTGAAAGAAGTACTATAGTTGAGAATGCGAGTTTAAATGCTAGTAACTATGGACTTAGCAGGTAAGACTAACTCTTGACCAATCTCAACAGTACCTTCACCATATGATTTTTTCCACAGAGCTGTACTTACAGTATTGAATCTGTCTCGACTTATATGCTTTCAAGATTTATCCAAATATGCTTTTAGGAAAATAGGTGTTCCATTATGTATTGTACTAGTCTTTGTGTGGCAGGTGTATTAATTAGAGAAAAGCAACAGTTCTGTTATATTGAGCTACTGTTGTTCTGAGATAGTCATGTAATGTAATGGTTTAAAAATACTTCACTATATCAGTCATCATGATGATCTTTACTTAATGTCAGGTGGACTTGATTTTATTCTTCCACTGCCTCTTTTTGGACAATTGATTTGACCCAGTGATGGATGATAAGAATTAGTAAATTTGATGTACCATCTACATGAGAAAAATAATCCAATAATCTAGATACATCAAATGAAAACCTTTTTTGCTTTTTAAATAATTACATTATATTCATGTAACTGTACAGAGACCTTATTAATATAGACAGTTATTTGAAAGACTGATGCTGTTCCAATGTCACTTGTGCTTTATATATGTATGTATATTTAAAAAACGCACTGTCCTTTCTTAGCAACACTCAGATTCCTTTCTCTTGTTATAAAGCTTTCCTCTGTAATGATCGTTTTAAGAGTGCCATCTAGTGTCTAAAGCTTTTCAGTCCAAGTTTTGATTTAGAAGTTAATGGGCCATTTTATTGAGTGATGGACCAGAAAAATTATTGCCTCATTGTTTTATATTAAATTGGTATGTAATATATTAATAGTAAAATGAACTTTTCAACCAAATATAAGGAAAATGAAGTTTTTAATATAATGAGGAGACATTAATTTCAGCTATGTTACTGTTGTATTTAACTGCTTTAAAGTAGTTGTGTGTTTGAGGTGTTCTTGTAGCATTCTTGAAATGAACGGTTCTCTTCTTATTATGTGTCCTTTTGACCTTTGGTTAGTGTCTCACCACGCTCTAGATTAATTTTTAATACAGAAACCAGTATTATTTCCCATGCCCTGTATACCCTATATATATATATATATATATTCCTTCTAACAGTTACAGAAAGACAAACGTGTGCAGTAGGAAACTGACTGTTGTAGATTGTGCTCAGGAACTTGTTTTTTCAACAGTATATGGTTAGTGGGAGATTACTGAGTTTTAAAAAAAGGCTTGCTATAAAATGTTTATACACTAAAAAATTTAAAAGGAAATATTTTCTTTTGGTTTTGTATGTTTTGTTTAATGTCTGAAATACTCTAAAATGTAAAAAAAATTTTACACAGATCATTTCCCTGTCACTGATTTGTACGTGAAGAGACAGCGTATATGTGAAACTATTGTTTTATCTCAAAAAGGACCTGCAGTCCACTTATTCAGGCTGGATGTCTTTAGTAATGTCTTACGTTAGAATCAGTTTTAGCAGATAGTGGAAGGACCACTGTTTCAAACCATCTTTTTTTGTCCTAAATTCTGTATTTTTATGAATGTTGTGTTCTGATCTCTGTTTCAGGAACTTCAGCTCAGGAGGAAGATGAAAGATAGTGTCGCTGAAGAACATTTATATTTGGGTTTTTCTCATCAGTGCAGAGATAGTATCTTTCCTCTTCATACATCTATTTCGCTGTTTTTGCTATCCTACTGTGACTGCAAATTATTCAAAATTTTCTTAGTGCCAACTGGTGAAGATGTGGATGATCAGTTTGTGACAAAAAACCTCCTTGGTGATCTTGAAGTCCATTTAATCTCTAGATGTCAGCTTCCAGTGGTTGTGCAGAGCTGCTGTTTGCCTGCTGTTGTCGTGAAAGATGGCAAGTTCTGCCGGGCTGGGCTTTCTGTTGTCTTAAGGCATATAGTACAGAAAACGTTCAAGGCAGATCCATCTAAGAAGGATGTTTTGGAACTCTTAGGCTTTAAGAAGACCTGCTTAAAAGCCTGTGCTGAAGTGAGTACCTCTGTTTCTCTTAGATACATTAATAAGGTTTTTTATAAGCATTAAATATTCTGAAGTAGACTCTTAATATTGATCTAAACTAAGTTCTTTTAGTAAGAAAATTAATTTGCTTAGGAAATGAAATTTCCTCAATGGAGAAGTGTCTGTATTTTGGCATAAAGATGAAAAAGAATTATTTTTAAAGATACTACCTGTTAGCAGCACAAAAAGGATGTTAAGATTCAAAAAACGGGTCAGTTCTTTGTTTCATGTCTAGGAGTGTAGTTTCAGTGAGTTATAAAGTACAGCTTTTGCATTTGGAAGTAAACTAAGAAATATATAATTTATTGTTAATTTTGATTTCAAGAGCACCATATACTGTTAGCCTTCATCACTGCCAAGGTGTGTTGCTGGCTTATGTTTAGCTAATGCTCACCAGGATGTCCAGAGGCTTTTGAGCAGAACTGCTACCTGGCCAGGTAGTCAGTTGCTAGCCTGTGCCATTGCAGGGGTTTAGTCCATCCTAGGTGGAGGATGTTTTATTGAGTTTCATGTCAGTTCCTGTCAGCCTGTTCTCTAGCCTGTGCAGGCCACTGTGAAAGGCAGCTCTTTCTTGGAGATGGTAGACTCTGCTCTGCTCAATTCACTGTCATCCTTGATGACAGTGTATTCCATCTTCCCCTCCAGGTCCTTGGTAAAGATAATTAAATAGAATAGGCCTCAGCATGGACCCCTAAAGAGCTCCACATCTAACTGACCTTCAGGTAGAGTGTGAACCATTGACCACTACTACCCTTTGAGTTGATATTTCAGCCTATTTATCACATAGCGGTTTACTCATTTTGGCAACCCATCCATCTAGACTTGCCTTCCTCACTCCTCTGAGGTGGTTGAACTCCACTATTTCATGATTGATACATCCATGGTTGCCATTGATTACTGTGCCTCCAACCCCTTTCATCTGTGTTGGTGACTAGCAGATCTGGGGAGGCGTATCCCTGTGTTAGTCCATCTAGTACTAGCATAAAGAAGTTGTCCTACAGAAACCTCTGGTTCTAATCTCTTCTTGGAACTGCTGGAAAACTTGATTCCATGTTTCAGATGGCTGCAAAGTGAGTAAACTGAATGAGGAACGACAAGAGTTTAAGAGTTTTAAAACCTTTTGAGATAATAAGAAAAAGAGGACAAGGACAAGAACATGAAAAATAAGGGGTTTTTTTTTAAGATGCTGTTCAGTTAGACTAAAGTTTTTTGATGTTACATGCTAAAAACCCACTAATATAATGCATTTCTGTAAAAGTGCTCAAAATATGTTTGGTGTAATCTGGTTCTATTACCAGTACTTGGTAGAGGTGACATATAGAAGTTGATCACAGCCTTTCTTCTCCTAAGTTACGCAGCCACCCTAATCTCATGCCAATAATAAGGAATAAAAATATGCTGTAGCGGATAACTGTTCATTCTGTTATATAAAAGATTTAGCTTCCTAATTCTTCTCTTGCAAAAGTAATAGAGAGTATCTGACCTTCTAAGATTATCGAAGATTGTATTTAAAGCTGGAATTTCTTGCTTAAAGGAGACAAAAAAGTACCCTGGATTTTATTTCTCTTTCTGTAGAGACATTAATTGCATAAATTTATCTGACAGGTTAGCCAGTGGACCAGGCTTTGTGAGATCAGCATACCTCTGGCTGTTGAAGGATTTTTGACGGCGTCTCCTGAGAACTGTCAGACTATTCCTCCTGACATTTTACAGCTTGAAAGAAAGCTTGGTGAACCTGTCCGAGTACATAATGATGACAAAATTCGAAGGCAAAAACTTCAACAGCAGAAGGCAGGTGCCAAGGCTGCAGTCACTGTACTTGGCAAAGAAGCAACAGAGGAAGGAAAAACAGTGGATATGTATGAACATCCACTCCCAAGTTTGGAACTGAGCATAGCTTTCTCCAGGCTACTTGTCCCAGAGGTATCAGGTGCAGTCAACAGGGAGGCCCCTCACATCAGGAGAACAAAAACCTCTGACCTTCCGCCTTTGGACCACGTCTTTGCAGAAGGGCTTTATTTTACTTTGGCAGATATAGTGCTTTTGCCATGCATCCATCAGTTCTTGGTAAGACGACAAGTTCTGCAAATATTAAGCAGTGTATATGTATTATTTTTGAGAACTGGAAAGTTGTAAAATGTATTAATTGTATTAATGTATTGTGGCGTTTGCAATGTGAACTTAACTTAAACAGAACATTTGTCTTTGGTTTTATACAAACAAAAACCAGAGATCGGTGAGATCACCAAAATTACTTTTAGATACATAGCATTTTAATACTTAGGAAACACTGTTAACTGTTAAAATATTATGCTGAAATATTTTGGCACCAAGTTGCCCAGAAAATTCCGCCATCACAATACTTAGAATGTACTTTAAGTGTCCATTTTAATATGTATAAAGCTAAAGCAGGTAAGCATGAACCTATTTTCTTGCTCAAATTTAGTGTACTAGATTTATGACAAGACTCAGTGGATATTTACTAAAATGAGACCATTTTATCCGTGAGTAATTTCTTGAGATTTGGAATTTTGATTCCCTTGTAAATTGCAAATTTTAAAAGGAGGGAGAGTTGAGAATGTTTTAATAATTCCAAGATACTAGAATGGGTGTCCCCCATGAGAGATTTAAAGTGGATACTTAAAGTACATTGTAGTATGCATAAGAAAAAAAAGTAGGTAAGCATGAACCTATTTTAATTTTCAATTCCATGTACTAAGGGGCAAGGCAAAATTAATTCCTTCCCAGTTTGTTGTACTTTTACTACATGGATATTATCTGAATTGGTATTCTTTTCAGCAAAGACTTTAAACTTTATGTGACTTTATCCTGACGTGGACAGATATGCCTAAAAGAAAACAAGTACCTTCTAAGAAAGTAAGAATGCCTTTTAGGGAGGCAGTGACTGGAGGAAAATTTAGGGACTATGATGGCTTTTTAGAGGCAAGTTCTTGACTTTCCTTACCCATACTAGA